CTATAGCCGATAATAATTAGTGTGATATGCAGTTTTTGATTCTTTGTTGCCATCATAATATCCGATATTTCATTACATCCGATAATATTGGTTATAGTGATATTTTTACTGGATAAAATACGTTTTGCTTTTGAATTTTGATATTTTGTACCAATATCACTGTAGCCGATATATTCTTATATCCGGTCACTCTATAGCCGATACAGACTGTACGTGGAATGTGGCCTCTAATTTCCTAACATTTCTCAGGCTGCGTTTACACGACAATGTTGTCCCTGCCCTTTTGGAGGGTATGTGCCCCTTTGGGCACGTGTGTGCTGGGTACGCGTGGTCGGGGTGCGGACTGCGCAGGTTGCGCATGCCTGCATATTATTGTACGCATTCTTGTTGTTTGTGGCCTTCTTCCTGAGACTCTCCTTGGAGTAAGACTAAAATAATCTGTCCTCTGAGTGTGGCATACGTGTGATGTAAGACTAAGAGAGTAATCGGAAGGGCTATCGTCGAGGCATAACACCCCCCGACGACAACAACGCACCGCCAGTTTTCCGTTTTCAGTCCCGCATTTCTTGTTTCGTTTTCGTGCGTTAACATGATGAAAGCTGATCCGAGTTGGTCTAGGTTTGCATCGTTTTCGTGCGTCTACACGGGAGAAAAGGATCTGCCAAAGTTCGCCATGTGCCAAGTGTTGTCGCGGAAGCACCAGTCACACTCAATGAATGGTTGAAAACACGCCACACGACAGCACTCGTCACATGACGAAAATTGTAAAAACAATTTTGTTTGATTGTTGGTTCCGTGTAAACGGCCGGAAACGGAACAAACGTGACGGAAAACGAGGCCAGCAGACCGTCTCGACTGTTTAACACCCAAATTTATACGGCAGAACATTTCCGTTTTCAAATTCTTCCACCTTGGCCAGCGTTTTGGCTTTCTTCCGTTTTGGTGTAAAACTTTTACGTTTTGCTCTACGTACCGTGTAAATGAACCATGCATCCGAAAGGATTTTGTTGCGTTTTCACCCCCAGCGTTGTCGTGTAAACGCAGCCTCATAAATGATCACACGACGTCAGGAGATAGCTGCAATTGCAAGTATATTCGTTCCCATTTCCATCATAACGCTGGTTCTACTTCACCGAATTTGACGATCTTGGGCTCGTTGGAAAGCTCTTGGAACGAGGATAACAGAGAGCCCAAACTCATTCAGGAGAGCAATTGCTGTCTGCTACTGAATGCCAGGAACACCAGCTGAATACCAAATCCAAAACGGGAATAGTCCTTGTCTCGCCATTTACTCGTGCTAGCTCAAAATCATTCAAAAATGTTCTAACAGACTCACAAAAGACGTGACAAAAAAGTGCTGGCCAGGAAGAGGGGAAATCCCACTTTTGAACGAAATTTGCACTTCGCTGACGCATGAGAAATCGAGCGAACGTTCGAGCACTTGCCACTCTGTTATACTAGCTTTCGAGCCGACGGCTTAGATTCTCTGCTACCTCGTAGGTATTTCGATTGTTGAATTTGGTTGAGATTTGACTGAGTCGTGACTCGTTGAGTGCACTTGCACACATGACATTGGCATCATTGGAATTCGAACAATGACCTCCAAAGGGTTAAACTGTCATCAGCAAATCCTATATATAGGATTTGGTTTCTGACTAAAAGATTTCGCTAAACAACCTATGCAAATTGATGAAATGGGTTTCATGAGGTGTTTGGAACTGTTTTCCATACATCTCCGTAGGAATAATCCAAAATTCAACCCGATCGGCCAAATTTCGGGGTGAAACTTCCGCTGTAGCACAGGTAAAAGCACTAGATATGCCAACCTGTGGCAGTGCTCCCCAATCTGTTACAGGCATATATTCATGTTATCTGTGTACTTATTCAGCATACAAAGCGTTCTATATTACTTTCCCTGCCAGTTCTATCATCCGTCAGGCAAAATAGCATGTCATAGTACATTTGAGGTCAGCGGGAAGAAGATGACGAAATCCACTAATTTAGTATCTGTGCGCACGAATGTGCTGTGTGTGTGTGTAACTTTGTTTGTCAGCTATGACATCAAACCCTGTGGTTCCATGCCTAGTATGTAGGTCAGAACAATCCTGCAAAGTTTGAATGATGTAGGTTAAACGATCGCGACGCCAACCATACATTTTGAAATTCTCTTCGTAGTTTCGTAGTGTACCTTCCACCATTAAAATTTCGAACTTCTGACTGAGAGGGTAGCTTGCAACCTCGCTAGGGCTTGTTCCAGGCATGCTGTGAAGCGAAACCCTGTTGAAGTAGTGGCGAGGATCTGCCCTGCAACTGCAGGGGAAATGATTCGATCTGAGAAAGCGTGAAACCGTGAATCTCGGCTGAATATCGAGTATTTCAAGCCTTTTCGCGAAGATGGAGTATGTTTTGGAGGACGTCGCGGCAAAGGACATGGTTTCCGACTTCTGGCGTCTGGTGAAGCCAGGGATCATTTTGTCCAGTCAGGTCGGTAGCCTAACCGTCGCTAAGCTTGTGTTTGGATCCCGGTCTGCTCGATGTGGTAGATCACAATTTGAATATCGCACAAATTGAACTCTGCATCGTGCGTACGGTATTTTATATTCAGAAAATTGCAAAGTGTCTCTGTGTGGCCGTCCTATGCCACGAGAAACTCCAATCAGGCTCCTATGTCCTCTGCCTTCTTGATTGAATGTCCACTTCGTTTGAACAACGATCACAACAATCGAGGACGGCTTTGCAATGAAAAATACAGCTATACTGAAACTGAAAAAAAGAAGAAAAACGTGCTCAGGATGAGACTCGAGTACACGTGTACTCTCCCAGCAGGTTCTGTGGATGTCGCTCATAGATGCGTAATTTCGCGTGACGATCTGCATCCATTACAACACTCTGGATAATGCAGAACACTCAAATGCTATTATATGAGCTTCCGGCTGAGAAAAGGATGCTATTGTCCTCATGTGCACAACTGAGAAAAAGGATGCTATTGTCCTCATGTGCACAACGGAGAAAAGGATGCTATTTGCCTCATGTTCACAACTGAGAAAAGAATGCTATTATCCTCATGTGCACAACTGAGAGAAGGATGGTTTTGTCCTCATGTTCACAACTGAGAAAAGGATGCTATTGTCCTCATGTTCACAACTGAGAAAAGGATGCTATTGTCCTCATGTGCACAACTGAGAAAAGGGCACTTGAAAGCAGGATACTTACTTTCGCGCTGTAAAAGCTGCTTTCACATCTGTGGCTGTAACTTTGTGATACTTGGAGATTTTTCAACATTTCTGCATAATCAATCAGTGAGACTTATAGTTTTAGGTACGCTCTCTCTCTCTCTCTCTCTTTTGTGCGGACATATCCGCCCTGATTTGTTCTAGGCAACTGGCGTACACTCAAATAGGAACTGTATTTTCACACACAATCCAGTAGTTGAGCCGCGCCAAGCTAAAAAGTGGCTTAGCGTTTTGCCAACAAATCGAGAAAATCACCAAAACGTCACAGTCGGAAAAATTCTACTCGAGCGCAGTCGCGAAAATATTCACTTTCGAGCACCCTTTGAACCTTTCAAGTAAAATAGTTTGCAAGTGGAGAAGAAGAAAGAGGCCTTTTATTTTTGAGCAACACTTCTTCAGTGTTCCCTCTTTCATCGTTGTGGGGATTTCTTGCCCCTGCCAGAGATCGTAATGGAGCGTTCTGGAGAATGTGGAGGTGAGCAGGATGACACTCTGTCTCCGTGTGCGCCCAACCCCACTTGACGAGGAAGATTCGCTCATTCATAGTGGCCGTGTTTCTCATCGCGGCCACGACTAGAGCGGCTAGTATAGCTATGGGGAGACGTGTACAAGCCGTCCGACTATCATTCTGACAAGCTGCCTAGTGAGTTGGCTCTTGCTGCGATGTTTCACTTTGTTTCGGCACCTTCAAATGTTCATGACGTGGCGTACTGTATTCCAAAATTTCCTCATTTCAAGGCCAATGGTGCCACACGACAAAGCGACGAATTGACTCTACCTGTAAGCATTATTGTGGTGCCTTCTACCACTACCTACACCAGGGAAGGAGAATGACATGGACTAGGACGGACAAGGAATCAGTGCCGCTTTTTAGCGATGTGCTGTCTGCTGGACCTACACGTACGTGCAAGGGACGGATGGAGCTCGATCTCTGGCACAACACTACGAGCTACATGAAAGGATTAATTCATGCTGGCATAGGTGATCGGAGAGAGTAACGGACTGTCTTGGTAAGACTTAGATGCGACATATCCCAGCCCAGTGAAAATATAGTCACAGACTCACAACATCATTGAAGGATATGAAAATTCGTGGTGCGTGAAGAAATGACATGAGATACATAGATCAGTTATTTATTCTTTCTTTGGATCTTCTAATTAGAACACAAGTGCTCGTTCTTCTTGTATTGCTTCCACACCTGCTAAGCTTTGTCTCCACTTGGTGTCCCATGGTTTTGGGAGTTTGGGCCGGTCTTCAAATCCTTAGTGTCATTGATACCAGGTATGCTGTGACATGTGCGCAATGTATACGTATTTATGGCACATAATACATTTCAGATGGGCACCAAAATTTTCCTGATGGAAGTTGGATAGGTAGACATCACTTTGGCATGGAAAAAGAAATTTCCAAAAATTATGCCTAAGCCACCTTTCTGCTTGGCTCGGCTCAGTTATGTTTTGGTCTTTTGCAGCCATCTTCAGGAATGAAGTTTTCATGCAAAAAAGGCGGTATGCAAACTCACAAAGAGCACCACCAAGTGATCATGCACGTAAAGGGAAAGCATCCGGAGAGACAAGAAAGGAGAGGTGCTAGATGTGCTGGAGTGAAAACGAGCTGCCAGCAAACAAGTGCTGTATACATGTATGCTGCTTGAGGGGGCCTTCAGAATTTTGATATGCCTGCCCTATATGGGAATTTAGCAGGTTTTTGGAGCAGTGCACAACCTAATGGATTGGGTTTTCTATTTTTCAAATGCCAGAAGCTAACCTGTGTGCGGTGCAGGCAACTCGCAGATGTAGCCCATGGTCCGCGCTCCTGTACGAGTAAGACATGGTTGCAGTCCCCACAAACCGTTCCTGCTTTCGGGCGAATTGTCCCCAGTAAACATGTAACCACAATGTGCCACAGTGCCAAAGCCATTGAAGAAGTGGTGCCTCTTGCAATCCCAATTTAAGTACGATGTGGTTGTGTCTGGTGAGCAAGAAATTAGAGTAAAAAAACACAATACAGGTCCTCCCCCGTTAAAACCCAGACTTTCGATCATATCTGATCGATCACTAAAACCTTCGTCACTCCATCGTGTCTTGTGCAAATTCAACAATCGAGGGTTCTACGTGGTAGCGGAACTCCAAGCAACTCCAATGCAACAACCACCAAAGAGTTATGATGTCGGATTCCAGAGATATCTTGCTCCCTCTTCTTATCTTGGAAAATTCAAATTTTCGTTCTCTTCGCCATTTGGGGGAAAATCCCTTTTCGTGTGCTCTTTGGCGCATGATAATGACATGATTGGCTGAAGTTTGAATCGCCTGGAGCGTTTTGCGATGAAGGACAGTGGAATGGCGTTGATGGGACGAATTTGCCTGCTTATCAGGCTTGGAGACGGCTTTGCTGTGTTACCGCACCTTATTTGTGGAGGCTGGATAATGGAGCTTGGATCCTGGCGCTGCTCTCGCCAAGAGATTTGCAACGAACCCTAGATTGTGAAAATGGAGTGAAGGAGGCCCAAGTTATACAGTGGAGATTGGATATAATGACACTCTTTCGGGAGAAAGCAAAATGTTGCTATATTCGATCTGTCACTAAACCCGATCTTCAACATAGTATGCAATAATTATGTATATCAAAATGACAGAAATGTATTGTAGATATACATGTGGATAACAGATGTGTATGATTGTACAGGCATGTGTCTTGCATGCATTGTTCAAGGACCTTAGCCTAGGTAAAGTCATCCCGCACCGCTGCACTGCGGCTATAACGTGCAATGTAAAGCACACATAATTGAGTGACCCAGAGGTCCGGGCACGTGGCACAGCCATGTACTATGTTCCAGACATGCCAGTCTGCCTGATACAAGAGGAAAGTCGTTATATCCAATGTATTTTCACTGTTTTTCAGGTCTTCGGGCACCGATAAAGTGTCAGTAAATTCGATCTGTCGTTATTTTCGAGGTCGTTATACCCGGGAGAATGAAGTTGAAGACACCACTGCAGCTGTACTTATGGTTGATAAATATGGTGGTAAAGACACACCTGGCAATATGGCGGTAAACACACGCCTGCCCACACACGCTCTCTAGGCTGCAAAGTTCTGGCACAGAGCTCTCCTTCTCACCACCACCACCATCAGTTCGCGCCTGGCGCCTGGTCGATGCATGGCTGGTGGTATCCGGCATAGCAGGCTGGTACATCAAGTAGCGCATGGCACATAGATGATGACACAGCAACGACATAGCTCGATTGCGACGTACGTTTCGTCCCCGCTGGACTCATCAGGCAATCTTCTTCTTGGATGTCTTCATCTATGTGCCATGCGCTACTTGATGTACCAGCCTGCTATGCCGGATCCCGCCAGCCATGCATCGACCAGGCGCCAGGCGCGAACTGATGGTGGTGGTGGTGAGAAGGAGAGCTCTGTGCCAGAACTTTGCAGCCTAGAGAGCGTGTGTGCGCAGGCGTGTGTTTACCGCCATATTACCAGGTGTGTCTTTACCACCATATTAATCAGTCGTTATACCCGATCAATAATGTACAGAAAGGACTTGCTAAACGAATGGGGCAACAGAATTGTGTCGCTAAACTCAATTTGTCGTTAAGCCCAAGGTCGTTATATCCAATCTCCACTGTAGCCTGTTGAAGTTGAAAATTGTGCTGAAAATTCAAATTCTGCTTAAACCAGTACATAAAGGGTTAATAATAATACTTCCGTGTGGCTCTCCATCCGCTTAATTTTTTTGGAATTATCAGGTCTAATGAATCTAAGAAACAGCCGCTGTTTGAGATTTTTCAAATATCTAATAACGAGTTGAAGTCTACAATACGTCACAGATGATGCCGATCGGGTCGCTGCGGAATTGTGTCAGCATATCCAGCAGGTTGCTTTGCAGGTAAAAGTACATTGTGAAATACATTGTGGTGCACTTTTTCCCCTCGTTTGAAGGTATCGGGGGAGCGTCAGGCGAAAACACCTACAGCCACCCTTCTGGCAATCGTGCTGCACGAGGAAAAGGCGAAGGCGCTCATCTAAATCATGCCTTTAGAGTGAAAAAATCAAGAAAGCGCAGCTTAGCTTGGAGATAAAATGTCGACGTTTTGCAGGGAGATGCACTGGCATGTGCGCCCTGAGACCCCAGCAGCAATGAAAACTAGAAGGTTAGGCCAAGAAACGATACAGTAGTTATCTATCTACCGCCTCGTCAGGCGAAATAGCACGTCATAGTACATTCGAGATCAGCGGGAAGAAGATGACGACGTCCACTAATTTAGTATCTGTGCATACGAATCTGCTGTGTGTGTTACTCTGTGTGTCAGCTAAGGCATCATCGCCTGTGGTTCTATGCCTAGCATGTACGTCTGAACCATCCTGCAAAGTTTGAATGACGTAGGTTGAGCGATCGCTCCGCGAAACATACTTTTTGAAATTCTCTTCATAGTATATCTTCCACCATTGAAATTTCGAATTTCTTCGATTTTTTTGCTGAGAGGGGTGGTTTGCAACCTCGATATGGCTTGTTCCAGGCATGCTTTTGAGCCATTGCCTGTTGAAACAGTGGCGGGAAGCTGCCCTGCAACTGTTCCAACAGGAAATTAATCGATCCGGGAAAGCGCGTTGAATATTGAGTATTTCAAGCCTTTTCACGACGAAGATGGAGTTCTTTTTGGAGATGGACGTCGCGGCAAAGGACATGGTGTCCGACTTCTGGCGTCTGGTGAAGCCAGGGATCATTTGTCCAGTCAGGTCGGCAGCCTAACCGTCGGTAAGCTTGTGTTTGGATCCCGCTCTGCTCGATGTGGTAGATCACAAACAATTGTGATATCGCACAAATTGATCTCAGCATCGTGCGTACGGTATTTTATATTCAGAAAATCCCGAAGTGTCTCTGTGTGGCCGTACTATGCCACGAGAAACTCCAATCAGGCTCCTATGCCCTCTGCCTTCATGATTGAATGTCCACTTCGTTTGAACAACGAACACAACAATCGAGGACGGCTTTGCAATGAAAAATACAGCTATACTGGAGCTGAAAAAAAGAAGAAAAAAAGTGCTCAGGATGAGACTCGAGTACATGCATACTCTCCAAGCAGGTGAAACGCAAATTTTTGTGAAAAATGCGTGTCGCCGACTGACCAGTAATTTCGTCTGACGCTTGGTTGATTTTTTTAGTACTGATGCTCATTTGTACATATCCTTGAGTTTTGAAGTGAAGTGTACATTTTAATCAGTCAGACCAAGTACAAACAATCTTGGAGGAGACAAAAGTGTTATCAACGTTATAAACAGTACAACCGTACCCACACGATTGGTGCCCGTGGGGCATTATTCTTCCAAAGTTCATCACAGATGGGGCATTATTCAAGAGAGGGTACTATTTTTTCAGTGCAGAAGTTTACTATTAAACTATTATGACTCAACAGAACCTGCAAGAAGAATTGCGTTTTGATCCTGAATCCCGGCACCAGGGCAATTACTTCCAAGTACATAGACAAGACCATTAGCAAAACAACACCAAACGTGCACAACCTCTTGATTATTATTTTTTATGAAAGTACACATGCCTACATAGAATGGAAGATAACAACAACAACAACATCAAGAGAACATAGGGGACTACAAAGGGCGTGTAGGTGCTATTGAGCTGTGCCGGTGAGGTGAAGTGCGCTCACATGAAGAAAGCCACTGGCGCTACACGCAACTCAGCTGATGTTCCTTTGCTAGTCGATAGCCATGGCAAGGCGTTCCACACCTCAGCAGAGAAGGCTGAGTGCCTGGCAAAGCATTTCTCCTTGAAATGCAGCTTGGGTGACCGAGACCTGACTATCAATGACCTTCCTGCGGTGACCACCCCGACCCATGAGCCATTACAGCATGTTCATTTCCGAGAAGCATCAGTCCGGCGGCATCTTGCAAGGCTAGTCCCATCCAAGGCATCTGGACCTGACAGCATTCCATCTCGGGTATTGAAAGAGTGCTCTAAGGAACTTGCTGCTCCCATAACGAAACTGTTCCGTGTTAGCTTTCGTGCCGGTGTTGTACCATCCCAATGGAAGCTCGCTCATGTTGTCCCGGTATACAAGAAGCCAGCTCGATCTAGGCCATCCAACAACCGGCCTGTGTCCTTGCTCTCCATTTTATCCAAGGTCATGGAGTGTATTATAAACCAACAAGTAACCAATTTCCTGGAGCGCAACGACCTGCTGCCTGACAGCCAGTTTGGTTTTAGACGTGGCCGTGGCACAGCTGACCTCCTCACAGCACTCCAGAGCGAATGGGTGCAGGTTGTAGCTGAGGGGGGCTGTGTCCCAGTAGTAGCAATTGATATTGCCGGTGCGTTTGACCGCGTCTCTCACGTCGGCCTCCTCAACAAAGCAGAGCGAGTAGGCATTGGCGGACCTCTTCTCTCTTGGCTACGCGACTACCTGAGTAACCGCTGCCTAAAGGTGGTAACTGGAGGCCACGCTTCCAAGACGTACCCCATCACTGCCCGAGTGCCCCAAGGCAGCGTCCTGGGCCCCACACTCTTCATATTGTTTGCTGCCGATATCGACCAATGCCTCTCGCATGGAGTAAAGCTCAGCTTTTTCGCCGATGACACTACCGTGTACAGTCTGATCAGACCAAACGACAACCTCCAGGAGAAGGCAGCATCCTTACAGACAACCCTCAGCAATCTTGCCGCATGGGGCCAGCAATGGTGGATCCAGTTCGAGCCCACCAAGAGCCAGCGCCTGATTTTATGCAATGCTCGAAAGCGCCCTAACTTTCCACAAACCACCTTTGCCGGCGAGATTATTCCGGACTCAGACCACCTAAAGCTGCTTGGAGCCACATTCGACTCTAAGTTTGGGTTCCAGCGCCATATCCATGCTGTCGCTGTTAAGGCCAGCCTGCGCCTGGGATTCTTGCGCCGTGCTGCTTGGCTTCTGGGTCATGAGGGCCGCCTTGCCATGTATAAGGGGTTCATTCGGCCC